CCTAAATGGGGTGGCCACCCAGAACGATGGCGATGGTAATCATGGACAAGAGGGGTGAACTAAGCAGGGAGAAGTGACTGTGGAATGTAGTGGTGTTCTTGATTACATCAAGTCTCAGAGACAACACTAGGGTGACTTTACGCGAGGAAGAATCATTGGGAAACTGAAAAAAGGAAGTTGTGTCCAGGAGTTTTGTGTCAACCACAGCATTGTTTTTTGTGCATGAGAAGCAATGTGGACCGCAGCCACTGCTGTCCCAAGAAGAGGAGGTTGTGGGTCACGAACAACCGCAGCAGCAGGTGATTGCTAGGTTTTGCTACAGGCAAAAATGGACCACGTCAGTCACATGCTGCAGTTGCAAAAACATTTATCAGGATTGTAAGGCATGTAATCCCAGTCCGGACAGTGGCGCAGTGACCGCCTAGGAGTGATCTCTCTCATCGATCAACAATACCTGTATTCATTTGAAATCCACGCCTCGGCTGGGACATTTGGTACGAGCCGAGACATTGGAGATGGACCACCGAATTGAAAAATCGCGTATTCTTCCCGGTCAAGAGCAAACTGAATGTGAGTAGTGATTCTGGACTTACCTGCATATGGGGAAAATAGGAACGTGTAATCTACCCAGGACCATCGTTTAACATGATTGTTTTGGTAGTGCATGCGACATGATGTGGGGAGGCATAAAGTTGTCGGGGCGTACTGATCCCAACTCATGATCGCGTTACACTTTCTGATCAACGTGATTGTGGTGTTGTACCCTTCTGTCATGTGCATCTTTCCAAGGGTTCCCTTGCCCTCAGCTTCAAATCGTATGGAGGGCAGTGTGCGAGAGTATCGAGCAGCCTGGGTGGAAAACTCTTGAAAAGTGAGGATTTTCGGTAATTGGTGAAGCCATTTATTTCCTCCAGTCTAATTCTATGGAGCACGTGTGGCGTGGATTCAGATGAGCTATTGTAGCACATGACCATGTGCCAACAATAGTCCTGCAGTTGTCAATCGCGGTCTCCAAGGAATCGGTCACTTCTCCTCAAGAACTCTTAACTAATCTTACGGCCTGTATGGGAACACGTAGCAGAGCATACCTTGCAGTCCGTAGTGTTCATACACCCCATCAAGAACCAGCTCCTCTCTTTTGAGTGTCTACCATGAGTTGGAGAAGCCTCACCTATCGACCGCTTCAGACAGGGTATTTGCAGAAAAATGTCTTTTCCAATCGCCCCTTTGCGCTTTTCTGTTAGTAACTCTCTGCACTGTACCGCAACATTTACTTCTATATATGTGCCAAATTTGGTCCACCTAGGTTAACTAGCAGTGAGATATCATGTGAAAGTTACTTCCGTCCTTAAGTTTTGCACACCAGGTGTATCTTCCACTAGAGCATGTACTTCCATATTTGCACACAACCTTTATCGTCATCACGCGCTTTAAGGTGGAATGGTGCCCTGCACGTGTAGGAGGTAGCACAGCTGCTCGGCGCGCGAGAGATGCATGATGGAGTACCACTTGAGGAAAAGAGTTCGGTGCTAACTTAGTTGGGGGGGGGCACGCGGCGGCGCGGCAGTCTGCTCACCTGGGCTCTCTCGAGCGAGACAGTGTAAACTCGAACATTCCAGCTTTTCACGCATGTCAAGTGACTGCCCCCACCCCCCACCCCCCTAGACTGCCTACACTCCCCCTGGCCCACGGATTTCCGAACATGCCAGGCGAGCAGACTGCCGCGCCGCCGCGTGCCCCCCCACTAAGTTAGCACCAAAAAAGTGTTTTCCTCGCATAAACTCCAGCACTCTTCTGATATACATATAACAATTTTATTATTCAAAATATAGAAAACAGCTTACCGAAATCAATATCCAAGAGAGCACCGTTGGCACCTTCAATCAAGATTGAGCGGCCTTTGTTCCGCATATTATGAATAAATCCAACAGTGTCGCCAACCAAGTTCAATGAGATCAGCTTCTCACGATGCTCCTAAGCATATATCTCAATCTCTGAATCCACGTTTCATCATATTCCGCTGATCGAATTTTCCCAAGGGGGACGGTGGAGACAATGAGCAAAGCCCATAGCCTCAACCAGTGCTTGAGCCAGGGTAAATGGTTTTTTGCTGTAGCTTTTATCCCCTATACATATAGCAGGGGCCACACAGCGACATAAGTGGTGTAAAGAGAAGCGGATCACCAGACAAGTTCGTAGCAACACCGAGCATCCCATACCTTGAATCGTGCCAGTTCTGCCTCCGTATCTATATCGATCGTTGGAAACTGTTTTCGATAATGATCCACAAGCCGGCAGTAGCTGTAAAAGATCTGCTAGTCTTCCTTGTTCTTACACTTTCGAAAAACAGAAAAATTGAGACCTCTCTGAAAATGCTTCAAAATCACCCAAAAGGTCCGCAACTCGTATGCCATTACGGAAACATTTCGAGGAATATGTTGGACCTATACCACGATTCGTTGTACCGATTTTGCTAAAAACAATTAGTATCAATAGAGCCACAACGTGCTAACTTTCAAAAAAGATTTGTCTGAGTACACAGGACTCATTCAAGTACAGAAAGTGAAAGGTGAAAGTTAAATTTGCGAGAGCGTGCCTGTAATTTTCCAGCGCTGGAAGCGGTCACCTCAAATAACACATGCATGCGCGTCATATTTTCGCGCAAATGGGCATGATTTCGCTCAATTTACTTGATGTTTTCTACGTTAGAAATTCTCCGCTTGCATTATTGGACCCAGAAAATGTGATGTCCATTAAAGCAACAGTCCCAGCAGGGTTTTACCTTCGACACTAATGGTGTTGAACGATGCTAGCCCTAGTCAAGAACATAAGAAGTGTGACTGAACAAAAAACTCACCTTGGAAAGCCGCGAAAGGAGTTGAACGCCTTCGAAGTGGGCGTGTCGGCCACCGATCGTAAGCCCCTCTTGCCAGCCGTGGAGATCGCGTGATTGGCTGCGGAGGCATTTGCGTGGATCGTGGATCGAGTTCAAATAGTCCCTGTGGTCCCAAATCGGTCGCAAATGCCTCCGCAGCCAATCACGCGATCTCCACGGCTGGCAAGAGGGGCTTACGATCGGTGGCCGACACGCCCACTTCGAAGGCGTTCAACTCCTTTCGCGGCTTTCCAAGGTGAGTTTTTTGTTCAGTCACACTTCTTATGTTCTTGACTAGGGCTAGCGCATCGTTCCACACCATTAGTGTCGAAGGTAAGAACCCTGCTGGGACTGTTGCTTTAACAATGACGAAATTATCGAAATGCAGTCCTGGTTTTCAAAGAATATTTTGAAAAATGCAGAGGAACACGCACAACGGGCTGTCGTCAAAGCGTTAAGCTAAACGAACTATGCCCAAAGTGAGTGAGTAGGATTGAGCGATTCTTGGTGAAAGAAAATAAGCCATTCCCGCTTCTTCGAAACTGCGAGCGGAGCTTAGGATTGGTTACGGCAGCAAGTCACTGCATCTACTACTTCGAACGCGACGGTTGACACAATGAGGAGTTCTCACTCGCCTTTGTGCTTTCCCACCTCTCCACCAGCTCAACATTCATCCATCGTAGCACATTCTATCTCTTCGAAGAGGATTTCCTCAGCTCAACTCAAGAATTTTGCTTCTTAGCCTATTTTACTGTCCCCTTGAAACTGCCCCTTTCAAGCATTCTCTGGTTTTAATGCGGAATATGGTTTCTAAGCGG